CGCCCATTTCCTCGGGAGCCTCTGGGGAGGGCAATAATCAAAAACATTGACTGCCTGGTCATTTTCATTTCTCCCTCTCTTTTCTAGATTGTTTTTCAAGTATCAAGTTAGTTTGTAGACTTTCACAGAAGAACAAGTAATCTGCTGTTTTAGATTCATCTCCAAGAACAGTGCGATGCCCACAGCATGCTTAACGGTTCTCCTTGTTGATGGCCTTTCCTGAAAGAAGATTGAGCGCAGAGCCCAATCATTTGCTTTGGTTGCAATTATTATTCACTGAACTCACGTTGAAGCACCTACTGTGTGCTGACTTCTCTACTTTACCCATCAAAATTCTGTCAGTAACTCTTACGGGCAGATCTTCTAAGATCCTCTATCCCTACTTTATAAAAGGGGAAAAAAGACGGAAGAGTTTAAGTGATAGAGCTGACCAATGGTAGGACTCAAATTTTGGACCCACGTTTTATATGGCTTCTTTTTTGCTTTGGCAGTAAGTCCGAGCTTAAGAGAGGTATAAATGTAACACCTTACAGCTCAGAGTATCTAGAAATCTCTCATTGGCTTGCTTTTCGGCTGGGTTTCCAGGAATTAGCTGGGTCTTTCCAGGACTCTCAGCTGCCACCAGTCACAGCCAACAGCTCCAGCAGGGACGTGGGGAGATCAAAGCCAAGAGCAAGGAGCTGGCCACCGCACATGCCCTGTTTATGATGTTAATCAAAAGCCTGGGCTTTGTGGGGAGGAGACAAAAAGCTCCCTCATAAAAACCCGAGATGGGGGGTGGGGTGGGCAGTGAGTGGCTTAAGTGCTTACCTCCTACTGATGACAAAAGCCGCAATGAGAATGACCACCAGCACCACACTGCCTGAGACGGAGACCAGGAGGACTGTGGAGTTAGCCCCATCTCCGATGATCCGGGAGGGCACTGGCAAAGACAGTGACACAACAATCACCTCTGGGAAGGTCCGAGGAGCTAGAACGTCTGTCTGCCTGGGGCACAAGTTCCAAAGTGCTGAAGCCATGTGGACCGCTCAGAGCCTCTCTTGCCCTTCGGTAAGTGCTTACACAATGGGATTTCTAAGAGAGCTTTAATGGGATGAAGACGTTCTCTGTATAACTGCATAAAGAACTTCAACCAGAAGATTCTTCTTAAATCCCCTGGTAAACATTACCGCCCGTTGTTTTTCTTCTTTCCATTTCTAGTTTCAGCCCTAACGCTTATTTAATGATCTGGTGCGTTCCTTAGTGAGAAGCACACTTGGAAATTTCAAAAACGACAAGCAGGTTTGAATACTTACCCACCCCTCACCCCAAATCTATCAAAACCCTGCTTACTATTGCCCAGCTCAAAAGCCACGTCCTCTTTGAAGCCTTCCAGGAATATCCCCCCAAAATGTCAAACCCCTTCAGATTCAATTCTAGAGTACTTCCTCTTCTGTTTTTATATTCATATTTTATTTCACAACTTGTGAATAAAATTACTTTCTAGAACTGACATTGAAAATTCTTCTCTACCGTCTCCTTCTCAAGTAAGCTCAACTTTGGTTGGTTAATTACACAGGGGGAGCCATCTTATGGAAACTGCTTACTCATCGGGCATGTCCTTTGTTAACATTTTCCATTCAATCAATTAGTTGGTCCAACTCACAATGTTGAAAGATTTGATATATTGGTCCAAAGAGGCTTTAAAAAAAAACCGATCTGACTTGGTTAAAACAGATTCCCAGAAAGAAATAAAAGGGGGGGGGAGGGGCCCCTTCTTTACTCTTCCCAGGGAGGAAACTTCCTATCTTAATGCAAGAGAGCTATGCAAGGCTCAATCGGTCCACTTAGCAGCCCCATCTTTCATCATTTATAGAAGACTCAAAATAAAAAAATAAAGAAGAAGAAAACATTTTCAATCATACAAAAAGGTTAGATAATACGAAAAATGCTCTTTTCTAAATAGCACGGGATTTTCCAAGTTACAGACATCTTATTTCCACGCAGTGTTCGTTGCAACAGAATGTTTGCCTGACCCAAGATTAGGTACAGCTCCTTGGATTTCACTGTAATGTGATTTCACCTGGACTGTAAAAAAGGGCCTCAGCAGCTGATACCTGTGTTGGTCGTGACCTCTAGGGGCTCACTGAAGTCTCCATAGCCGGCTGCTGTCCTGGCTCGCACATGGAACACGTAGGAAGTCAGAGGATTCAGGCCTTTGATATCCGTGTTTCTGGCAGCCGTCCGGACGATCCGGTAGCTTCGCTCATTCTGATCCTGCATCGTGGGGACGATAAAATTGGGGAAGGTGGTAAATAAATCCCTCACCTACTCTAGGCCCAATTTTAAAGGAACCAGGCCAGGGCACTCAGAAGTTGAAAGTAAGTAGAGATTGCTAAACTCTCTAAACCTTATATTCTCTTTGATGTGGGAAGTACCACTGTTACATGTTGGATGCGGAAAGACACGTGGAGTTCAGGTATGATCACCATTGACGCTGACCATATCCAGACCTTTACTTATAATCTTTTTTGAGAAGAACATCAGACGATGGCTGGTGGCTTTTCTCACTCCACAGTTGACAATTTAGGAGAAATAGCTGTAAGAAGTTCTCTTGTCTCTTTCTATTTTCTGTCTAGAAAATGTCAAAAATGTTGTAATCTGGTTTCAGTGAAAAATAAATCCTGTCCCTTTTCTGCTTTTAATAAGGAAGCCAATAAGTGATTGTCTTCAAAAAGAAAGAGAAGTCAATTGTTCATTTTCTAGACAATCTTGAATGCAAATAGCTCTCTTCAGAATCCTGTCCTTTATGAGAGACAAGTTATTTGTAAAAATAATGTCTTTCTATAACTTTAAGAGGCTGAAAAATGTAATTTTCCTTCCCCGATTTTCTATTAAAAGTCATCAAAACCCACACCTTGATTCTGAATAGCAGTGATCTACTTAAACAGATCATTATTTCGACTTTTATGAGTCACTCTCACTGATAGAAGGCTTATATATAAGAACTTCTTCGCTATCTTGATTCCCATTACTCGAAAGAAAAAAAAAATGGTTATATTAGAACACAATGTATTTTTCCTATTTTTCAAGATAACTGATTTAATACATAAAATTCATAATTGGATTCGATTGGGGAACAAAATGCATTTGGTTTTGAAATTCACTGGTACTCTGGATTTACAACTGGCTAAGAACTAGAGAGACAAAGGAAGAAAGGAGGGGAGGGAGGGAGGGAGGGAGGGAGGGAGGGGAGGGAAGGAACAGAAAGAAGGAAGGAAGGAAGCTTGCTCATCCAAGTAATACCTTCTCGTAATACTTGACTTCATACTCCAAGATCACCCCATTGGGTCTATCTGGTTCCAGCCAAGCCAGAGCAACACTGTACCTTGTGACTTCTTTAGCCTGGACCAAAGCAATGGACGATGGTGCTATTGGGAAAACAAACAAACAAACAAACGAAAACAAAAGACATCTTGCTTTAATGGGGAAGAAAATGGCGGTCTCAGTCAATAATTTCATTCTACTTAAGAAGAGTGTCAAGGATTTACTTGTCCCCCCGCCCCCGGTCCCCATTTCACTCCTTCCCAGGACAGAGGTGTACCAGTCATACGATTCTCTTCAATACTGCGGCAGACGGTTTGTCTTAGAAAGATAACCTCTGAAGTAAGAGCCTGGTCGGTCCACAGGCCTGTGGCGTCACCTCCACAGAGTTTGCAGCCATGTCTCACAAAAGGCTGGAGGTACAGAGAACACCGCCTGCTTCTTTATTTTGGCAAGCCAGGAAAGGCACTGGAAGAGCTCCTCTTGAGCTGAGTAAAACTGCACCTCATCCCACCTCCAGAGTCATCTTACAGATCTTTAATTTTATACCAGCAGGGGAATTTGCAACTCTTCCCGGAGTACTGTAGGACATGCAAATAATCTATATCCTTTCCAACATAGATAAAAGTACTGTTCCATTGTAGCTACGTCTGCCGTGTGGCACGATGATGTAAATTATGATGAACCCAAATAAAGCGACGATGTTCTCTCTGCACATGTGTGACGTTTTGCAGCTATTTTTACAGAAGCTGAGACCTTGCTTTTGCCTGTTGAGGAGCAAACTTTCTTCATTCCCCGAAAACAGACACAAAAACGGTCCTCTACCAGGTGTGTTGTGGGGGGGCGGGGGGGAGTATTTTGAGATCTTTAAAACCAGGCTGCCCTCTTCTTCCTTGTGATGGTCACATCTCCAGCCCGCTGTTGTCGAGCTCTGCTGTGACTGACAATGACACAAATGTGCCATTACAGGGAGAAGAGGGGCATTCATGAAATCTGTAATCTTACCTAACAAAGCTGGTCTGTACAACCAGAGATTAGGGGGATCTTCCTAAATTGAATGCATATACTTGTTTGTTACCAAATCGGGGGAAAATGCGAAAACAGACATCAAACAATGGCCCCTGGGGAGCAACATCATAGTGTCCTGCTCTTTCCCAGCACACACACAACAACTAAACCCTAACTCAGAGGAAACAAGAGAACAAGTGAAAATTAATTGTCACTAAAAATGAACCGGGGCTAACTTCAAACACCCTTGACCATATCTGACAGGTATCTTGATGGAAAGGAAAGCAACCAGAGATGCCATCATCCCACAAGGGAACCTTCCAGCTCAAGTTAATCCAGCAGGGAGCACCTCCCGGAGGCCTGGATTGGGCAGCCTGGCATCTCCCTTAGGGGTGCTTCAAGAGGGCGCGTGCGCGTCCCCACGCGCGGGCACACGCACCCACCCTGCCCTATTTCTCTCTCCCTCTCCTTCTCCCCCGAAGCTATTCCAGACTGAATCTCAGGCATAAACACAAGTGAAAGATACAGTGGATACACATGTCCTCCATCAAAGGCAACCCCAAGGTTAGTAACAATACCCAACTGGATGCACAGAGAGCTGTGTGCCGCAGCCATATGGAAGCCACTGAACATCTGAAGAAAATGAAAACCGGAAATGTGCTCATTAGCGGCATTAGGCTTCCCTCCCCCAACACACACAGACGCACACGCACGTTTTCCCTCTCTCTCTCTCTCTCTCTCTCTCTCTCTCTCTCTCCTTCCCGGTTGACACGGAACCATTGTCCAGCAAAATGCCAGCAGTGACTTTCTGAAATACGGAGATCGCAAGAAGGCTAAGAAAGCTGCCCGGCTGTGAAAAGCTATTTCACTCCAGGTAATAAATACATTGCCTAACAGAGCACTTTAGCATACACTCCATAAAAAGGGGCTCTTTAAACTCCGATGTTCGGGATTGGAAAGTGAAACAGAAAAACAAGGACTTTAGAAAGAAAGCGGTGGGGGTGGGGTGGGGGGGGATCATAAAGTTATAAAATGGACTTTCTCTCAGAAACGGCCTGGGTCGGATCCTGATAAGTGGCAGATTCCTCGGGAAAGAATTGCCCGGCTGCCCTTGGGGCGCACTGACGAACCGAGCTGGGTTTCTCTCTGGTTGGGTTACCGCTAAACTGCTGCACGTGGGCCATGAACCTGATTTCCATTTTAGAAGTTGGGGCGGCAGGGTTTCCGTGCCCACTGAAGGGGAAGATGAACGCAACCGAAGTGCTCATAATATCGCAGGCAAGGAGTTCACAACACAATCACGTGCACTAATAGAATATCCCTAATGCGGCTCGAGGCGGAGAATCCGTGCGCACAAATGTGCAAATAAACCAACAGTGCGCGCTCTAGCTCGGCTGTCGTAAAAATGGGAGAAAACGAGACAGAAAGAGAAATGCAGCGTCCTTCTAATTCCCGAAAGGTATTATGCCGTGTGGCTGTCATGTCTGAAGTCTTTCTGAACGGACGTGCTCAGGAAAGCCTGTGTACCAGGCCACAGCGACAAAGGCATTCCGTCGCCAAGTGAGATTGAGGAAATATACCAACTGCACAGCAGTCTAACAGGGCAGCCCTTCCTTCCCCGGAGGAGAGCGTCTTACCTTCGCTGGCACAAAGAACACCAGTCTGGAAAACTCTGGGCTTCACCGCACTGCCACTCTGGAGGAAAGAGGCAATCTGGATCCGCGCCACATCGTAAGCCACGTAGGGGGTTCTTCCCTCGCCCTTCCTACCCTGCTTCCAATCCAGCCTCCAACTCCACATCTGGAAGCCATCGCCTGCCACGTGGGCCCGGCTGCAGCTCGCTTCCCCAGATGAGGCAGTTGGCAATGGCACTTCTCGATTGTTCTCCTACCCCAATGGTCCCCGAGCTCGTTTTCTCATGCCGTCCATGTAGCTGCTGCCGCATCCCTCTGCGACGGGTGCTGTGCTTTCAGCGATATTTTTCTTGAGCCAACACCCTCTATTGACTCGAGTTGTACTTAGAAAGCCCCATTCCTGATATACATGAAATCTTGTTATCACTGGCAGTTAATAGCGGGTAGCCAGAAAAATGAATATGGAAATAAACAATGCTGTCAAGGTTGGCTGGACATTCTTGCCTCCTCTCCGTGCCTTACCAAAAATAGAGATTAGCCCCGGGTGAGAGACGCATTAAGGATAATCCCTGCACCAGGTTGAGATTCTGGAGTCACTGAGAGAGAACTGGGAAGAAACAAACTTTCACACAGGGCAACTCAGTATTACAGAACGGTCCACGGGGACTTTCACTAACATGATCTCTGACGCCACCATTGGGATGTTTCCACATTTTGGTAAATCCTGTCGAGTCCTTGTCAATTAGAAAGGTTTCGGATCCCGGGTCCAGACACCCCAGGGCTCTGTCCTCTGCTAACAAATTTGCAAGACGATCTACTGATAGAATAACAGATTGAACACTCTCCTCCCTCAAAGATAACAAATCGGTGCCTTAGTTCCAAAGAGGGCCCCTCACCATAGGGGAAATTTGGGTCAACATAAAAACACCAAGCAGGGGGTGGCTGGGTGACTCAAGTCAGTTGAGTGTCCACTGTTGGTGTCAGCTCGGGTCACGATCTCAAGGTTCGTCCGTTTGAGCTCCACGTCAGACTCCGTGCTGTCAGTGCAGAGCCTGATTGGGATTATCTCTCTCTCCCCCTCCCTCCCTCATTCTTTCTCTTTCTCTCTTAAAATAAATTAAAAAAAAAAACTTAAAAAAATAAAATAAAACACCAAGCAGAAAAAAGGTTCTGCTTGCCTCTCAGTTCTCTGGCTTACATTCTGAAAACCGTGGACACATAGTTTTTCCTCAGTACTGACTAACTCATCCACTAAGCACATACTTAGTGAGCACCAAGAGAACAAGGAAAAGCTGGGAAGGGGCAGACAAATCGGAATCAAATCCAGTCCGTGGTATCAAATTAAGACCCATCGTATCCATCAGCTTGTTTTTTAAGTTTATTTATTTTGAGAGAGAGAGAGAGAGAGAGAGAGAGAGCGGGAGGGGCAGAGAGACAGGAAGACCCAGAATCCGAAGCAGGCTCCAGGCTCTGAGCTGTCAGCACAGAGCCCGGTGCGGGGCTCGAAATCACGGACCGCAGATCATGACCTGAGCCGAAGTCCGACGCCCAGCTGACTGAGCCACCCAGGAGCCAAAGGAAATTTTTATGATAGTCTCACAGAGAAGACATCCATTTTCTAGAATTCAAGAGGAGACAGTTCCTGGTAACCTCTTCTTTTCCAGATTCTCCCATAGTGATGGACAGAAGTACGAGGTGAGGTGGGCGCTTCCTTACCCCACTGTGGTTTTAGACACGCCATACACCTGCTGAAGAGTCAGAGGAAAAGTCGGGAGGAAGCGGAAGGCTGATGAAAGTATCCTCAGTTGAAGAAAAAGACACGTCTTAGGTTGGAAGCATTCCTACCTACCCACAGACTTCCCTCATAAAACAGATGTTTGCTTTAAGGAAAGTTTTGTGCCCCCGGACATAAGGAAGAATTCTTCCGTGGCTAGAATTTTGGAATAACACACAACTAGGACAGCTGGTCATGCTAGTCAACAGTAACATGGTTGAGAAAGATGACTGATGGATGTGAACATCACAAAGGCAAGAACTACTCTGGGGTAGTTTGAAAGAAAGGTTTGTGACTTAATTCAATTAAGTCCTTAATTTTCAAGTGTTAGGAGCAGTATTTCCAATGACCGACAGATGTCCACTTTCCTGTCCTCAGATGCTGTCTGTCATCTGAGACCACATCCTATTAATCTCAAGGGTATTCGGTAGTTTTTAATCCAAACCATATTCTCTATTTCCTTTCCTTTTCGCTTACAAATCGCGCTGACATAACCGTTCAGTCATTCGACAAATGCCCTTTAAGCCTCTGCTCGAAGAACTTAAAATCCAAAGAGCTAAGGAGGCTTTTATGTTTAGACAGTTAAGCGCTCTCTGGCTAAATAAACATAGTGGCTGAGATGAGAAGCCAGAATAGGCAGGAGGGCATCGCAAATTGCAGAAAGAACTCTGGAAGGATTTGGAGTAAAGTT